AACAATACATGGATATAATCTATCAGAAACAGTGAACAGGCTAGGCATGGTGGCTCACACTTGTATTCCAAGCACTTCTGAGGGGCTGAGGCAGGAGAATTGCTTGTGCTCAGGAGATCAAGACCAGCCTGGGCAACATGAAAAAACCCTGTCTCTATAAAATTTTTAAAAATTAAAAAAGGAAGGGAGAAGATTATCTATTTACTATAAAAACAGAGAAGGTTTACCACAAAAAAGAGTTATCCTAGCTTTTCTCTCAGCAGCACTCGCAAAAGAAAGACTACAGAACCTCTGTGCTTAGGCTCCAGAAGCAGGACATGGAATTCCCACAGCTTGGAAAAGGTTGGCTGGAAATAGCATCCTCTTTCATAGTGTCTCTTGTACTTCCCTAAAGATAAGAATAACCTGGAACACCTGATAGAAAACAAATTCCTGGGCTGGGATATATAACTAGAGTGAAACTGCTGCATAATATGGTAAATTTATATTTAACTTTTTAAGAAACTGCCTATTTTCCAAAGAGACCATCATTGTATACTGTCATCAGCAGTATGTGAGGTTTCCAGTTTCTCTACATCCTCCCAACATTTATCATCTTTTTTATTACAGCCTTCATAGTGGGTGTGAAGTGGTAATTCACTGTGGTTTCAATTTACATTTTCCTAATGACTAACGATGTTGAGCATCTTTTTATATGCTTACCAGCCATTTGTATATCCCCTTTGGAGAGATGTCTATTCAAATCCTTTCCCCGTTTAAAAAACTGGGTTATCTTTTCATTGTTGGGTTATAATAGTTCTTTATATATTCTGGATCCTAGACTCTTATCAGATACATGATTTGCAAATATTTTCTCACATTCTTTGGGCTATCTTTTCATTTCTTCAGTGTCCTTTGAAGCACAAAAGTTTTTAACTTTGATGAAATGAAAACTCACTCTATCATCAATTTATTCTTTCATGGACTGTGCGTTTGGTGTTGTAGCTAATAAAACTTTGCCTACCCAAGGTCACTGAGATTTTCTCCCATGTTCTCTCTGAAAAATTATACTTTATTAGGCACTTAATTAGGACCATCACCTTTTTCTATTCTTTTTGTGAGATGGAGTCTTGCTTTGTCTCAGGCTGAAGTACAGTGGCATGTTCTCAGCTCACTGCAACCTCTGCCTCCCGGGTTCAAGCAATTCTCCTGCCTCACCCTCCCGAGTAGCTGGGACTACAGGCGCCCACCACCATGCCCGGCTAATTTTTTTGTATTGTTTTAGTAGAGATGGGGTTTCACTGTGTTAGCCAGGAGGGTCTTGATCTCCTGACCTCATGATCTACCCATCTTGGCCTCCCAAGTTCTGGGATTACAGGCGTGAGCCACCATGCCTGACCTTGACTATCACCCTTCTAAAAACAGTATAGTAAAACATATAACATTAAATTGAGCATTTTAACTATTTTAAAGTATACAGTTCAGGCGCATTAAGGACATTCATGCTGCTGTGCAACCATCACCACTACTCATCTCCAGAGCTTTTTCATCATTGGAACCAAACTGAAACTGTACCGTTAAACAGTAACTCCCCATTCTCCCTACCCTGAGAAAACCACCATTCTACTTTCTGTTTGATTTTGAAATACCACATATTAGTGGAATCATAAAATTTTTGCCCCCTCCCTGTTTTTTTTTTTTTAACCTGTGCCAGAGTTTTGCTCTTGTTGCCCAGGCTGGAGTGCAATCACAGGATCTCGGTGCATTCCAACCTCCACCTCTCAGGTTCAAATGATTCTCCTGCCTCAGCCTCTGGAGTAGCTGGGATTACAGGTATATACCACCATGCCCGGCTAATATTTTGTATTTTTAGTAGTTAAAAGGTTTCACCATGTGGCCAGGCTGGTCTCAAACTCCTGACCTCTAGTGATCCACCTGCCTCGGCCTCCCAAAGTGCTGGGATTACAGGTGTGAGCCACCACGCCTGGCCTCTGCTTTCAATTCTTTTGAATATATAGCCGGAAACAGTTGCTGGATCACATGATCACTCTGTGTTTAATTTTTTGAGGAATGACCACACCTGTTATCTACTTTAATTTTTATGTATGGTGTATAGTAAAGTTCTAAATTCATTGTTTTGCATTCGGAAATTCAGCTACATCAGCACGATTTATTGAAAAGACCATTCTTTCCCTCATTAAATTACCTTGTCAGCCAGGCTTGGTGGCTTACATCTGTAATCCTAACACTTTGGGAGGCTGAGGTGGGATGATCACCTGAGGCCAGGAGTTCAAGACCAGCCTGGGCAACACAGTGAGACCACCTGTATTTGTAAAAAATTTTAAATTAAAAAAAAAAAATTGCCTTGTTACCTTTGTCAAAAATCAAATGACCATACAGGTTTCATTTCTGAACTCTCCATGTTTATCCTTATGCCATCACCATATTGTCTTGGTTACTATAGCTTCACAATAAATTTTTTAACTGAAAACTCTAAGACCTCAAATTTTCTTTTTTTTCCAGACTGGGCTATTCTTGGTCCTTTACATTTCCATATGTTATGTTCCATAAATGTTATAATTAGTTTGTGAATTTCTGGGGAAAAAAAAAAAAAAAAAAAAGCTTGCTGGAATTTTGATAAGGATTGTGTTGAATCCATAGATCAATTTGAGGAGAACTGCCTTTTTTGGAGACAGTCTCACTCTGTTGCCCAGGCTAGAGTGCAGTGGCGCGATCTCAGCTCACTATAACCTCTGCCTTCCAGGTTCAAATGATTCTCCTGTCTTACCCTCCCAAGTAGCACGGACTACAGGCAGTGTGCCACCAGACCCAGCTAATTTTTGTATTTTTAGTAGAGACAAGATTTCATCATGCTGGCCAAGCTGGTCTTGAACTCCTGACCTCAGGTGATCTGCCCACCTTGGCCTCCCAAAGTGTTGGGATTACAGGTGTGAGCCACTGCGCCTGACAAAGAACGTCATTTTAATATTGAGTCTTCCAATCCATGATGTGGAATGTCTCTCTTTATGTAAATCTTCAATTTTTCTCAGCAATGTTTTAGAGTTTTTGCTGTACAAATCTTACACTTCTTTTGTTAAATTTATTCCTAAGTATTTTATTCTTTTTCATGCTACTATGAAGTTTTTTAAGTTTTACTTTTGAATTGTTATTTTCTAGTATATAGAAATATAATGGATATTTGTATTTTGATACTGTATTCTGCAATTTTGCTGAACTAGTTTATTTAGTTCTGGTTTTTCTTGTGTGTGTATTCCTTAGGATTTTCTATATAAAGCACCATGTAATCAGCAAATAGTTTTCCTTCCTCCATTGCAATCTGGATGCGTTTATTTCATTTTCTTGCCTGACTACGCTGTCCATGATCTTAAGTACATTGTTGAATGTAAATAGTGAAAGTGGGCATCCTTGCCTTGTTAGTGATTTAGGGGGAAAGCATTCAGAATTTCACCATTAAGGCCGGGAACAGTGGCTCACACCTGTAATCCCAGCACTTTTGGAGGCCAAGGTGGGCAGATCACTTGAGGTCAGGAGTTTGAGACCAGCCTGGCCAACATGGAGAAACCCCATCTCTATTAAAAATACAAAAAGTAGCCAGGCATGGTGTCCCACGCCTGTAGTCCCAGCTACTCAGGAGGCTGAGGCAGGAGAGTCACGTCACTTGAACCCGAGAGGTGGAAGTTGCAAGTGAGCTGAGTTCAAGACACTGCACTCCAGCCTGGGCAACAGAACAAGACCTTGCCTCAAAAAAAAAAAGGGGGTATTCACCATTAAGTATGATGCTACATGTAGGTTTTTCACAGATGTTACATTTATTATTGAGAGTGAGATATTTAAGGCTCTATCCATTAGTGAAAATGAGAAACTGGTCCCCTACTATTATTGTTGAGTTGCCTATTTTCCCCTTTAATTCACTTTTTGTTTCATGTATTTTATGGCTTTGTTGTTAGGCATGTGTATATGTTTACAACTATTATAACATTCTGACAAACTGAGACCTTTTAATTATAAAATGTTCTTCTTCGCATATGTGTTTGTCTTAAAGTGTATTTTGTCTTATATTAGTATAGCCACTCACGCTGTCTTATGGTTACTATTTGCATGTAGTATCTTTTTATATTCTTTTACTTTCTTTCTTTCTTTTTTTTTTTTTTTTTTTGAGACTGAGTTTCGCTCTTGTTACACAGGCTGGAGTGCAATGGCACGATCTGGGCTCACCGCAACCTCCACCTCCTGGGTTCAGGCAATTCTCCTGCCTCAGCCTCCTGAGTAGCTGGGATTACAGGCACACACCACCGTGCCCAGCTAATTTTTTATACTTTTAGTAGAGATGGGGTTTCACCATGGTGACCAGGATGGTCTCGATCTCTTGACCTCGTGATCCACCAGCCTCGGCCTCCCAAAGTGCTGGGATTACAGGCTTGAGCCACCGCGCCCGTCCCTATTCTTTTACTTTCTAAAGGGTTTCTCCGAAAGAAAACATACAGTTGGATTTTTTATTTAATCCAGTCTGAGCATCTCATAGATTGTTAACTAAAGAATGCCTTGTTTTGGCTGGGCACAGTGGCACATGCCTATAACCCCAGCACTTTGGGAGGCCAAGGCAGCTGGATCACCTGAGATCAGGAGTTTAAGGCCAGACTGGCCAACATGGCGAAACCTTGTCTCTACTAAAAATACAAAAAGTAAGCTGGTGTGGTGGCAGGCGCCTGTAATCACAGCTACTAGGGAGGCTGAGGTGGAAGAATTGCTTGAATCCGGGAGGTGGAGGTTGCAGTGAACTGAGATCACACCATTGCACTCTAGCCTGGGTGACAAAAAGGAGACTCCGTCTCAAAAAAAAAAAAAATCAATGCCTTTTTCTATTAAGGAATTCATTCTTTTGAATCACATATGTAACTTTGGGATGTGGGGTTACAGAACAGACATTCTTCAGCCAAACCCTGGCAATCACTACAGTAACAAGTGTAGCCATATTCTCTCTTATCTGAACAGTAACCTACCTCTCAGCCACTGCTAGCAGCCGTTCTGGCCTAAAGGTACCCTCGGTGTCAATGTACATGGCCTTTCCTTCACCTCCGCCCCGGTCAATGGGAAGCTATAGAAAACAAAAACAACAGAGGAAATGGACATTTTATTTCTGCTATAGCTGACCGAATTCCTCATGACATCATTATCATTACTCCAAGTCAAAGGGAAAAACACTAAAAAATGACAGTGGTAAGTAAGGAGGAGGCATTCTCTTCTGATATTAATAGAAATATAGCTAGAAAAAAAATGTAATGCTGATTGTGTCTCAGTACATACAGTTAGTCTTGTTGGAACTGAACTGCTTAGAAGTATAGCCCAAACTAGGTAATAAAATGATTTTCTTTTTTCTTGTGATGGAGTCTCACTCTGTAGCCCAGACTGGAGTGCACTGGCACTATGGTTAACTACAACTGCCTCCCAGGTTCAAGCAATTCTCCTGGCCCAGCATCCAGAAGAGCTGAGATTAAAGGTGTGTGCCACCACTCCCAGCTAATTTTTGTAGTTTTAGTACAGACAGGATTTCACCAAGTTGGCTAGGCTGATCTTGAACTCCTCACCCCCAGGTGATCCACCTGCCTTGGCCTCCCAAAGTGCTGGGATTACAGGAGTAAGCCACCACACCTGGCCAGTAATAAAATTCTATAACTACATACCAAAAGAAGACTGCTAATTCAAGAATACAAAAATTTGGAAGACCATTTACCTTAGCTGTAATCAATAAAGGGCCATGATCCAAAGACCAGTTAATTTTAGCATGTCTAGGTCAAACTTATACTTCACTGTATTGAGCAGATCATTCTTCAGGGGTACTAAAGGGGCTTGTCAATGCCCTTGGAGTATCCACAGCAAATTTAAAGTGTGAACAAGAAAGAAGAAAAACACAATTACTCTAATAATACATACAGATATTGAAAGTGAACGATTGGAAAAACAGAAAAATAAGTAGCACAAACAATTTTAAAAAGGAAAAAAAAAGAAGTAAATCAAATGCCACGAAACCTGACTCATGAGCCTCTCAAGGAAAACCTCTGCTTTAGGCTACCCATCCTATACCAGACACCTTTGAATTTTTCTACAAATTTTAAGTGACTGATGCTAAAGGGTAATTTCCACTCTAGAAATCTACTTTGGAGTCAAAATTCACCTTTAAATTCTGAGGAAAATCCCTTAGAATATTTTACATTAAAGGCCTAGGAGAACCAAATTTCTTTTTTGAGAATTTTTTTTCAAAATTACAAAATAACTATGTGCTTATATTAAAACTCCAAACAATATAAAAGTAGAGGGCCAGGTGTGGTGGCTCATACCTGTAATCCCAACACGTTGGAAGGCCAAGGCAAGTGGATCCCTTAAAGTCAGGAGTTCAAGACCAGCCTGGCCAACATGGTGAAACCCCATCTCTACTAAAAATACAAAAATTAGACAAGTGTGGCGGTGTGCACTGTAAACCTAGATACTCAGGAAGGTGAGGCAGGGGAATTGCTTGAACCCAGAAGTCAGAGGTTGCAGTGAGCCAAGATCTCGCCACTGCATTCCAGCTTGGGCGACAGATGAGGCTCTATCTCAAAAAAAAAAAAAAGTAGAGTAAAAACTGAAAGCTTGCCGGGCCCGGTGGTGCGTGCCTATAGTCCCAGCTACTTAGGAGGCTGAGGCTGGAGGATCACTTGAGTCCAGGAGTTCTGGGCTGTAGTGTACTATGCCAATCGGTGTCCGCACTAAGTTTGTCATCAATATGGTTACCTCCCGGGAGCAGGGGACCACAGGTTGCCTAAGGAGGGGTGAACCTGCCCAGGTCGGAAATAGGAGCAGGTCAAAACTCCTGTGCTGATCAGTAGTGGGATCGCATCTGTGAATAGCCACTGCACTCCAGCCTGGGCAACATAGTGAGACCCCGTCTCTTGAAAAAAACAAAAAACCCCTGAAAGCTCTTCATCACTCTCCAGCTCCCAGAAGTAATCTCCTAGGTTATTTGCTATGCATTTTCATACACTTCTTTTATGTAAGTAGTTCTTCTACTTACTATGGGACTCTGAGAATATTGTTTCCTTTTCCGTAAAATGTAAATAAAAACTGACCAAACCGACCTTATGGGACTGTTTTAAAACCTAAATGAAATAATTCATGTAAAGTGTTTAGCACAGTACACTCTGAAGGCATGATTTCCTCAACCTTTAGGGCACTGACTTTAGTGTATACAGTTATGGAAGGCTTTGCTAATTTTGTAAGAAAAAAATTATGTTATTATTTGGCAGGTAAAATATTTCACATCAGAGGAATCCATGGAAGGAGCAAAGGACACATATACAATAAAAGAGGGTCTTGAAGTAAAGAAAGAATCGGAACCAGTGGCCAAGAAGACATAGAGCATAAGCTGCCTCAGTTTCTTGGGAAGGAGGATATATTAACACTCTGGGGGCTAAGTCACCAGGAAATAAGATAAATGAAGTTCCTCTTTCTCCCACCTCTGGCTAATATTAAATGCTACCATGACAGGGAATTCTTTTCCAATTGAATAGATTTCCTTGGCAAAAGAAAGGCCACAGATGATTGGGCATAGGTAGGTAGACTGACAACAGGATAGTGGACAAGCTCCCAGGGTAAGCTCAGGGTGATGGACTGCATGCTCTGTTCTCTAGTTGATTTGGCCCTTTCCACCTTGCCCTCTCAGAGCCATCATAGCCATCTTCTGTTATTGGACTGAGATACCACCAGGTTAGCTGTTCATAGTAACTGCTTAGGACCATAATTTAACACTTCTTCCCATTTCATAGTGATGCAGTTTGTTTCTGACTTTCCATTTTAATGATGCTTTAGTATAAATTCTTTGTACATTTATCTTTGCGTTTATGTGAAATGTTCCGTGAGACAAATTTTCTGTCAAAGGGCATATGTTTTTAAAATTGGTACTTATGTTAAATTGTCTTCTCAGAATTTTTTTTCTATTTTTTTTAAATTGAGATGGGGTTTTGCCATATTGCCCAGTCCCATCTGGAACTCCTGGGTTCAAGAAATTCTCCGGCTTCAGCCTCTAAAATTCTGGATTTACAAGAGTGAGCCACCATGCCTGGCCCAGAATTCTAAAATTACTGTAGTACTTTGAATAAGCATGGGTTATTCATTTTGTAACCTAACTGTAGCTCTCAACTTCATAACTTTTCCATTATACAGCGATCTAACACATAGCAGGGTTTCACTTTATTAAATTGAGAAAATCTGAACAAATGAGAGTAGAAAATGTTAACATTTAAGTGATAGTCTAATATCCTCTCTATATCCCTGGTTCTAGCTCTTAGGCTGATAAATGCAATCTTTTCTATTATTACTTAATTAGCATTTTTCTTTAAGAAATTAACGATCAGTTGTTTAGCCATCTGCAAATGTTATTTTAACAGACAAGCTATGTTTACTTGAGAATTTTGCTTTAGTTTATTGTTGACAGATGTTATCTGACTACTTAATAAACATTCTCAGGCTAGGATTCTATTTGTACAACTTTGGAGCATCAGCATGCTATGCTGAGTTGCCATGGCAACTATGGATATTGTGTACTACAGTTTAAATATTTATTCTACATGAGTCCCTGTTGAAACAACATGGGAAAATATTTCTATTTAAAAAGGTCACACATCATGTTAAATGACCTAAGTAAGAGTGATATTTTAAACAGTTCTATTTCCCTTTAGCTATCAAATTTCTTTTTTTTTTTTTTTTGAGACGGAGTTTCGCTCTTGTTACCCAGGCTGGAGTGCAATGGCGTGATCTCAGCTCACCACAACCACTGCCTCCTCAGTTCAGGCAATTCTCTTGCCTCAGCCCCCACCCCACCCCTGCTCCGCCCCGAGTAGCTGGGATTACAGGCACACGCCACCATGCCCAGCAAATTTTTAAAAAATATTTTTAGTAGAGACAGGGTTTCACCATGTTGACCAGGATGGTCTCGATCTCTTGACCTCGTGATCCACCCACCTCGGCCTCCCAAAGTGCTGGGATTACAGGCTTGAGCCACTGCGCCCGGCTATCAAATTTCTAATGGAGCTCAGGCAATAGCTATAGCTTCTATAACTTCCTCTTCCTCTTCCCAATGTCCCTCCCTTATTATCATAAAAGGTCTCCTAAGCACCCTCCCACATCCCTCCACACAAACTCTTTCTAATTATTATAAGGAGATGGGTGCAGAGGCATGTGCCTGTAATCCCAGCTAAGTGAGAAACTGGGTGGGAGGACTGCCTGTGCTCAGGAGTTCTAGAACAGCGTGGTCAACATAGTGAGACCTCATCTCAAAACAAGAATTTATTTCTGAGGAAAGTTAACAATGGATTAGGTCTGCTGAATACTGAAATACTAACTTGGCTGTCTCATAAAACATTTGGTAACATTTTGGTCTGCGAAGAAAATATTAGTGAAGCTATCAAAGAAAGAAACAATTAAAATGACATCAAAAAGTCAGGCACAGTGACTGACTCCTGTAATCCTAGCACTTTGGGAGGCCAAGGTGGGTGGATGACCTAAGGTCATCAGGTTGAGACCAGCCTGATCAATATGGTGAAATCCCTCTCTACTAAAAATACAAAAATTAGCTAGGTGTAGTGGTGTGCACCTGTAGTCCCAGCTACTCAGGAGGCTGAGACATGAGAACTGCTTGAACCCAGGAGGCGGAGGCTGCAAGTGAGCCTAGATCACACCACTGCACTCCAGCCTGTACAACAAATCGAAACTCCAACTTAAAAAAAAAAAAAAAAAATTAGTCTCTGCAGAGACTAATATGATAAGGCTGATTTTCTCATTTCTTGCATATGGTTTACCATGCAGGACACAGGGCCCCAATAAAATCTGCAACTTTTTCCTTTTTTTTTTTAGAATAGGGTCTGGCTCTGTTGCCTAGGCTGGAGTGTAATGGCATAATCAGCTCACTGCAGCCTGAACCTCCCAGGCTCAAGCCACCACACCTGGCTAATTTTTAAAAAATTATTTATAGAGATTAGGTTTGCTGTGTTGCTCAGGCTGGTCTCAAACTCCTGGGCTCAAGCGATCTGACCGCCCTGGCCTCCCAAAGTACTCGGATTATAAACTTGAGCCACCCTGGCCTCCCAAAGTACTCGGATTATAAACTTGAGCCACTATACATGGCCTTCAAAATCCATGTTTTTAATGACACCATCTTTAACTATAACACAGCATTACATCAATATAATAAACATTTTTAATAAAGTATAATTTAAATTCAGAGTAAACTGGCCAGGCAAAGTGGTTCACGCCTGTAATCCTAGCACTTTGGGAGGCCAAGGCAGGCAGATCAGTTGAGGTGAGGAGTTGGAAACCAGCCTGGAAAACATGGTGAAACCCCGCCTCCACTAAAAATACAAAGAAAATTAGCCTTATGTGGTGGCAGGCGCCTATAATCCCAGCTATTTAGGAGGCTAAGGCAGGAGAATTGCTTGAACCAAGGAGGTGGAGTTGCAGAGTGAGGTTCCATCTCAATAAATAAATAAATTCAGAGTATTATAACTCGATCAAAATAGTAGAAAAAAAATTCAGAGTAAATTATGAAGGATAGTTCTTAACTTGATTTATAAGAAAAAACACAAAAGAAAATAATTTATATTGAACTTCTAAATCTATAACTGAGTTTCAAAAACTACTGCTATTTTTCTGAGAGGATAAGTACTCGGGCCAGGCATGATAGCTTCAGCCTGTAATCCCAGGACTTTGGGAGGCTGGGGCCGGTGGATCACCTGAGGTCAGGAGTTTGAGACCAGCCTGGTCAACATGACAAAACCCCATGTCTACTAAAAATACAAAAATTTGTTAGGCATGGTGGCAGGTGCCTATAATCCTAGGTATTTGGGAGGCTGAGGCAAAAGAATTGCTTGAACCTGGGAGGCGGAGGTTGCAGTGAGCTGAGATCACACCATTGCACTCCAGACTGGATGACAGAGTGAGATTCCGTCTCAAAAACAAACAAACAAACAAAAATACTCAAGAAAGTCCTGAGGATAGAAAAACACTAGGAAGCCTCTTCTATAATACTAATATAAGTCAGTTTTTGTTTCCCCGTTCTTGAACTCCAACAGTAAGTTGTGTTCATGGTAGAAGTGGGTCTAATCTATTTAGATTAAAATAATGCCATGTTGGATGAATCTGGAGAACATCATTCTCAGCAAACTGACACAAGAACAGAAAATGAAACACCGCATATTCTCACTCATAGGCGGGTGATGAAAAATGAGAACACATGGACACAGAAAGTGGAGTACTAAACACTGGGGTCTATTGGGGGGAAAAGGGGAGGGCCAGTGGGAGGAGGAGGTGGGGAAGGATAGCCTGGGGAGAAATGCCAAATGTGGGTGAAGGGGAGAAAGCAAGCAAAACACACTGCCATATGTGTACCGATGCAACTCTCTTGCATGTTCTGCACATGTGCCCCAAAACCTAAAATGCAATAAAAAAAAAAAAATGCCATGTTCTTCAAATAACTCAATTTATAATAAAGCTTCAAAAGATTATAACAGAAGAGTTGGTCCACAGGCATAGGCCAGGTTCCAGGGTACTTTGTGAATTGGCGACTCATGCAGCACATCCTTAAAGCCAGAAAATATTAGGACCTACTTAGACAAGGAAAAAGGGCTCCCCCTATCTCTGAAGTTGCAGACAAGATGAAAATTTGTTAGCTTTCTTTTCTATACCCTACTCCCTCCTTTTTTCATGTATCTTTCATTTCCAGATTCCATTGTTACTTCTCTGTGTGACTTAGTTCCACATTTCTCAATCCTGCTAAAAATTTTTGCTTGGAGTTTGTCACCTCAAACCTGCCGTCTCTAAACCTGAACTCATGTTTCCAACAAAACTGTTTTCTTCTGCCAAACACTTTTTAGGTTTACTAAATTATTGTAACATATTCTTGGGCTGAGTTGTATTTTTTATTGTCAGTCATTAAGTGCTGTCCTTTACAATATCTTTTCCTTACATCTCTTTAGTTTCACTATCCTAGTTTAGTCTTGACCAGTTAATACTTACTCTCCACAAAATCAAGCTTACACTTCTTGCCATACTCAAAACTTTCTGAAATAGGGTCTTGATAATTTTTTTTTTTTTTTGAGACAGAGACTGAGTCTCGCTCTGTTGCCCAGGCTGGAGAATGGTGGTGCAATCTTGGCTTACGGCAACCTTGGCCTCCTGAGCTCAAGCAATCCTCCCACCTCTACCTCCCAAGTAGCTGGCACTATAGGCACAGGCCACCACAACTGGCTAATTTTTATATTATTTGTAGAGAAGGAGTTTTACCATGTTGCCCAGGCTGGTCTTGAACTCATGAACTCAAACAATCCCCCCACCTTGGCCTCCCAAAGTGCTGGGATTACAGTTATGAGCTATCATATCCAGCTTGATGCATCTTTTTAAAGGTCATCTCCTAAACTTTTCTACACATACCCTGAACCATGTAAATGAGCTTGCTTATTTATTGTCTTTTCCTTATAACTTATGCCTTCCCATCCTCTGTCCATCCCATTCTGTACAGTTAAATGCTTTTAATTTCCTTCCTTCCAAAATTTAGCATTCTTTGGAAGTCTGGTCCAATATCTTTTCTCCATAAAGTATTTCATGGTAACTCTACGGTGAAGTTACCCTTTTCTTCCTTAAACAGCTAACCCATTTCCTCTATACCATTTATTTATATATCAGGCATGTTTCCGAACATCTATTATCTCCACTCATTCAAGCATTTTATTGTTTACTGAGTGCCTAGCACTGTCTTAAGCACTAGCAATACAACAGAAAACATGCAGTGGCATGACCCCAGTCACTGGGATGCCTGACCTCCTGGGTTCAAGAGATTTTCCCCCCTCAGTGTCTTGAGTAGCTAGGACCACAGGTGCACACCATCACGCTAGGTTAATATTTTCAAATTTTTAAAAATATTGAAACGGGGTCTCACTATGTTGCCCAGGCTGGTGTCAAACTCCTGGCCTCAAGCGATCCTCCCACTTTGGCTTCCCAAAGTGCTGGGATTACAGGCATGAACTACCATGCCTGGTCTCTTATGAAGTTTTAAGAGCACCATCTCTAAAGTCTGGTGTGATTCCACTATTTACTAATTAAATACAATGTATTGGGCAAATATTTAACCCACTGTGTCTGTTTCCAAATCCACCCATGAATGGGAGCATAAAGGAAAATGAAACTGAAGGGGTGTCCAGGGAAAGTTTTTTCCTAATGGAGGAGACACTAGGCATATTTGTATACTGATGAGGATAATTTCATAGACAGGCACAACAGAAAATGGAAAGAGTCGAGTCCTTGAGAAGGTGGCAGCAGATGGTAACCAAATTATATTGATAGAATGAGCCTTTAAGAAGAAAAGGGTCACTTTCTCCATTGTAACCTAAGATAAGAAAAGATGGACACAAATGTAAGTGGATTTAGATTTGATGCCAAGAGGAGGTTAGGCTATTAGCTAAGAATGAGAGTTGAAGAGGAGCATAAAGTTCTGATAAGAGAAGACAAAGTATGAAATACCTAAGTGGGGAAACTACACTTAAATGGAGAAAGTAGACTTGTCAAGAAGTCTTGAATGTTAATCTAAAGTTTGTCGTCTTGAATTTTTTTTTTTAAACAGAGTGCTGCCTCTTTGCCCAGGCTGGAGTGCAATAGCTCTATCTCGGCTCACTGCAACCTCCACCTCCCAGGTTTAAGCATTTCTCTTGCCTCAGCCTTCCAAGTAGCTGGGATTACAGACATGTGCCAGCACACCTGGCTAATTATTTTTATTTTTAGTGCCGTCAGGGTTTTACCATGTTGGCCAGGCTGGTCTCAAACTCCTGACCTCAGGTAATCCACCCACCTCAGCCTACCAAAGTGCTGGGATCACAGGCATAAGCCACCACACCCAGCCTGTCATCTTGAATTTAAAGTGAAGTCAGTCAGCTTTATGGTATCATTTTTCTCCAGAAAAATCAGCTGTTTGAGTACAGACACTAAGAAGACAGATGAATTTCATCTAAGATTGGGATCTCAAGTGGGTATGTAAACCGAGGCTATCTGCAAGAGAATTACTTTACTGATGAATCATAAAATCTAGACTAATAAAGAAGATGGAGGCTGTGGCTCATGCCTGTAATCCCAGCACTTTGAGAGGCTAAGGCAGGCAGATCAATTGAGGCCAGGAGTTTGAAACCAGACTACCTAACATGATGAAACTCCATCTCTACTAAAAATACAAAAATTAGCCAGGCATGGTGGTGGGCACCTGTAATCCCAGCTACTCGGGAGGCTGATGAAGGAAAATCACTTGAACCAGGGAGGTGCAGGTTGGAATGAGCCAAGATCATGCCACTGCACTCCAGCCTGGGTGACAGAGTCAGACTCTGCCTCAAAACAACAACAATAAAGAAGGTAGCAAGTAAGACAGGAAAGGCCTAGTAGTAGAAAAGTATTTGAAATCAATGTCTCTAAAAGAAGATCAATAATCTGGAAGAGTTTTGACATGCAAGAATTTTGCAGTAGGAGTCTATCTTATAACTAATAACAGCTATAAGATTCTTGAGGACAGAGAAAGTACCTTTTATGGCCATCCTAAGTAATGCTTGCAAATAGCAGGAATAAAGTATTGATGACTTATTTGATTAGCTATAGCCCCAACAGCTCACCTGGCAGGTGACAGCCAGTGTATGACAGATCTGGGTCTTCCCAGTTCGGAATTCTCCAAACATTTCTGTGATAGAGCCAGTCTCAATTCCACCTAAAAGAGCAATAAGAAATACCTCTTAGCATAATACAAACGTTTAGAAATGGTAGTCACAGAAATGTTCTTGGAGCTCATCAGAAAGATGTTTGCATAAATTAAAAATTTAATTTCCAACAAACAGTAATTTTTCAAAAATGTATTTTGAGGCTAGCCATAGTGGTTCATGCCTGTAATCCCAGCACTTTAGGAAGCTGAAGTGGGTGGAGTGCCTTAATTCAGGAGTTTGAAACAAGCCTGGGCAACACGGTGAAGCCCTGTCTCTACCAAAAATATAAAAATTCACCAGGCATGGTGGTGGGTACCTGTAGTACCAGCTACTTAGGAGGCTAAGGTGGGAGGATGACTTGAGCCTGGGAGGTGGAAGCTGCAGTGAGCTGAGATCGTGCCATTACACTCCAGCCTGGGTGACAGAGTGAGATGCTGTCTAAAAACAGATAAACAAACAAAAAGTATTTTAAAATAATTATAGATTGGCTGTGCATGGGGGCTCACGCCTGTAATTTCAGTACTTTGGGAGGCCAAGACGGGCAGATCATCTGAGGTCAGGAGTTTGAGACCAACCTGACCAACGTGGAGAAATCCCATCTCTACTAAAAATACACAATTAGCTGGGCATGGTGGCACATGCCTGTAATCCCAGCTACTCGGGAGGCTGAGGCAGGAGAATTGAGTTCCCAGGAAGTGGAGGTTGCAGTGAGCTGAGATCACACCATTGCACTCCAGCCTGGGACACAAGAGTAAAACTCTGTCTCAAAAAAAATAATAGTCTACGACCATACCACCCTGAACATGCCTGATCTCGTCGATCTCGGAAGCAAAGCAGGGTCAGGCCTGGTTAGTACTTAAATGGGAGACTGCCTGGGAATACCTGGTGCCGTAAGCTTTTTTAAAATGAATTTTTAAAAAATTTAAAAAATAATAATTACTATTATTATAGATTTACAGAAAGTTGCAAACAAGTCCGGGGATAGTGGTTCACATCTGTAATAGCAGCACTTTGGGAGGCGAAGGCAGACAGATCACCTGAGGTTAGGAGTTCGAGACCAGCTGGACAACATGGTGAAACCTCGTCTCTACTAAAAATATAAAACTTAGCTGGGTGTGGTGATAGGCGCCTGTAATCTCAACTACTCAGGAGTCTGAGGCAGGAGAATCGCTTGAACCTGGGAGGTAGGGGTTGCAGTGAGCCAAGATGGTGCCACTGCACTCCAGCCTGGGTGACAGAGTGAGACTCCTTCTCAACAAAATAAAAGTTAAAAAAATTAAAAAAGTAACACAGGGAGGTTCTATGCACCTAGCCTTCGCCAATGTTAACATTTTGCATAATGACGGTACAGTACTGATATTAGAAAACTGACACTGGGGGCCGGGTGCAGTGGCTCATGCCTGTAATCCCAACACTTTGGGAGACTGAGGCGGGCGGATCATCTGAGGTCAGGAGGGAGTTCAAGATCAACCTAGCCAACATTGTAAAACCTCATCCCTACTAAAAATACAAAAATTAGCCAGGCGTGGTAGCATGCGCCTATAGTCCCAGCTACTTGGGAGACTGGGGCAGAATAATCACTTGAACCCAAGAAGCAGAGGTTGCAATGTACTGAGATCATGCCACTGCACTCCAGCCTTGGTAACAGTGAGGAATAGAGAAGAGAATAGAGGGGAGGGGAGGAGAGGAGAGGGGAGGGAAGGGGAGGGAAGAAGAAAGAAAAAGAAAAAGAAAGGGAGGGAGGGAGGGAGGAAGGAAGAGCACAGTGGTTCACACCTGTAATCCCAGCACTTTGGGAGGCTGAGGCAGACAGATCACAAGGTCAGGAGATCAAGACCATCCTGGCCAACATGGTAAAACCCCATCTCTACTAAAAATACAAAAATTGGCTGGGCTTGGTGGTGCACGCTTGTAATTCCTGCTACTTGGGAGGCTGAGGCAGGATAATCGCTTGAACAAGGGAGTCAGATGTTGCAGTGAGCCAAGATCACGCCACTGCACTTCAGCCTGGTGACCAAGCAAGACTCCATCTCAAAAACAAAAAAAAAGAAAAGAAAACTGACATTGGGCTGGGTGAGGTGGCTCAAGCCTGTAATCCCAGCACTTTGGGAGGCTGAGGCAGGGAGATGGCTCGAGCTCAGGATTCTGAGACCAGCCTGGGCAACACAGCAAAGCCCTATCTCAAAAAAAAAAAAAAAAAAAAAAAAAAAAAAGAAGAAGAAAAGAAAAAGAAAATTAGCCAGGTAGAAAATGAGTACAGTCCTAGCCCTGAGGAGACTGAGGCTAGAGGATCCCTTGAGTCCAGGAAGCAGAGGTTGCTGTGAGCTGAGACCATGCCACTGCATTCCAGCCTGGGTGTCAGAGTAAAACCCTGTCTCAAAAATAAATAAATAAATGAACAAACAAACAAACAAACGAATAAATAAATAATAAATTTTTTTTAGAATGAGATCAAAAGCTTTATAGTTTTCCTTAAAGTCCTGAAGATTAGTGTGTACTACACAATGAGTAGTATTCAAACATGTAATGTTTTAACCATTGATAAGGTTTTCAACCTTGTGGTAGAGGTTAAAATTATAGTCACTTCCTTAAGCAAAGGGCGCTTACTCTCTTAATGCAACATTAAATGGAGACTAAATTATTTAATTTGCAGATAATTTTAGTACTTCATAAATAAGGTCCCAACTTGCAGCAGTCTTGCTTCTTCAATGTGGACACTTCCTTTATCTTTTTTTTTTGAGACAGAGTTTTTACTCTTATTGCCCATACTGGAGTGCAACCACATGATCTTGGTTCACCAAAACCTCCACCTTCCGGGTTCAAGTGATTCTCCTGCCTTAGCCTCCCAAGTAGCTGGGATTACATAATAGGCATGTGCCACCACACCTGGCTCATTTTTTTAGTAGAGGTCGGGTTTCTCCATGTTGGTCAGGCTGGTCTCAAACTCCTGACCTCAGGTGATCTGCCCATGTCAGCTTCCCAAAGTGCTGGGATTATAGGCATGAGCCACCTCGCCCAGCCTTCCTTTATCTCTTTATTATACCTAACAAGTAAATGCTACCCAAATATTTCAGTTTTTGTCTATAACCTGGAAGCTTTCCTAACTAGGGTTCACAACATAGGATAAGGGATTACTATACCTTGAAGTAGTTTGTCAAGCTCTTTAGAGCCAGTAGTAATCTGTATGATCTCTGACCGCCTTTGGTGGAATTCAGTTGCAGTGGTGAAACCCATTGGAACTAATTTGGCTGCTTCAGCCTGGGAAAAATAAGAAATGTTAAATCAACAAAACAATATTCCTTACCAGAGTGATCTCAAGGGCAATATGTATATATATTAGTAAAACAAGAATAAGGTATACAATGGGAAGAGAAAACATCTAATAAAAATACCAGGCCGAGTTCTCTTTAGAAAATCATAAAAAATGGCTGGGCGCAGTAGCTCAGGCCTGTAATCCCAGCTCTTTGGGAGGCTAAGGTGGGTGAATCACGAGGTCTGGAGTTCAAGACCAGCCTGACCAAGATGGTGAAACCCTGTCTCTACTTAAAATACAAAAAATTAGCCGGGCATGGTGGCACACGCCTATAGTCCCAGCTACTTGGGAGGCTGAGGCAGGAGAATCACTTGAACCTCCCACAAGAGGCAGAGATTGCAGTGAGCCAAGATAGCACCACTGCAGTCCAGCCTGGGCAACAGAGTGAGATTCTGTCTCAAAAAAAAAAGAAAGTTAGAATGTCATAAAAAAGGATAATCTAATTCACAGACTCCATGAAGATCAATTTTTTAATTGCCAATTCAAGGTAATATATTAATATAGTTTAAAAAACCATTATAGATCCATATATATGTGTTTAGTTCAATTTATAACAAAAATAACAATGCAGTACACATTCATTTCCTGCTCCATCAAACAGACTCTATCTCTTAACTTCCTACTTTGTAAAATGAGGACATTTGCCCTTTTATCTCTCCATGACTACTTCCCCACGTCAATCAGCTGTACCTTTTTTTCATATTGTCTGGTTGAAAACATTAACTTCCTATTTTGTAATTATAGATAAATGTTCTATAATAGCACTATAGGTTGATTCTAAAGTTGAAAAATAAATGCACTCACAAATATGCAAAAATAAAGCCACACACTCCTAAATAACTAACAAGTCTAAGAAATGACAGGGAAAATCAGAAAATACTTTTGCAATGAATGAAAATGAAGATATATTGAAACTTACGGGATCCAACAAAAGCAGTGCTTTAAGAGAAATTCATAGCTATATTAGAGAAGAAAGCTGGGTGTGGTGGCTCACGCCTGTAATCCCAGCATTTTGGGAGGTCAATGTGGCTGGATTGCTGGAAGCCACGAGTTTGAGACAGCCTGAGCAACAAAGAAGAACCCTGACTCTAAAAAAATGTTTTAAAATTAGAAGGGCATAGTGCTGGGTGTCTGTGGTCCTAGCTACTTGAGAGGCTAGTGGAAGGTTTGTTTGAACCAGGAGTTGGGAGGCTGTGGTGAGCTATGATCACACCACTGCACCCCAAAGTAGATGACAGAACAAAACTCTGTCTCTAAAAACAAAAAAGATAAATCATAACCTAACCTTCCAAAGAAGAACAAACAAAACAAAGCAAGCAGAAGAATAGAAATAATACAGGTTAGGGTAGAAACTACTGAGTAGAGGAGAGAATAATACAGAAAAATCAATGAACCCAGACAGGCATGGTGGCTCACGCTTGTAAGCTCAGCACTCTGGGAGCCCAAGGCCAGCAGATCATGAGGTCAAGAGATCGAGACCATCCTGGCCAACATGGTCAAACTCTGTCTCTGCTAAAATACAAAAATTAGCTGGGCATGGTGGCGTGCACCTGTAGTCCCAGCTACTCAAGAGACTGAGGCAGGAGAATTGCTTGAACCTGGGAGGTGGTGGTTGCAGTGAGCCAAGATTGCACCACTGCACTCCAGCCTGGCGCCTGGCAAAAGAGCAAGACTCTATCTCCAAAACAAACAAACAAAAAATCAATGAACCCAAAAGCTGGTTCTTTGAAAATATCAACAAAATTGACAAGCTTTCAGCTGCACTAACCAAGAAAAAAGAGAAGACTCAAATTACTAAAATAAAGAATGAAAGAGGGGACACTACTACTACCTTATGGAAATAAAAAGTAGTACAAGGAAACCCTTTGATCTCAACAAGTTAGATAACTTAGATGAAATAAGCAAATTCATAGAAAGTAAAACTACCAAAACTCACTCAAGAAGAAAATCTAAATAGACTCATAGAAAGTAAAAAGATTAAACTTTTAGCTGGGCGCCGGGCACGGTGGCTCACACCTGTAATCCCAGCACTTTGGGAGGCCGAGGTGGGTGGATCACAAGGTCAAGAGATCGAGACCATCCTGGTCAACAAGGTGAAACCCCGTCTCTACTAAAAATACAAAAATTAGCTGGGCATGGTGGCGCGCGCCTGTAGTCCCAGCTACTCGGGAGGCTGAGGCAGGAGAATTGCTTGAACCCAGGAGGCGGAGGTTGCGGTGAGCCGAGATCGTGCCATTGCACTCCAGCCTGGGTAACAAGAGCAATACTCTGTTTCAAAAAAAAAAAAAAAGATTAAACTTTTATGATTTTAAAATTTTCCATGAAGAAAAAAAATCAACAAACAGCTGAAAAATCAATGCAAATTTATTCTCTAAACTTTTCTATATACTTAATATTTCATTTAAAAACTCATTGCAGTGCCAGGTGCAGTGACTAATGCCTGTAATTCCAGCACTTTGGGAGGCCGAGGTGGGCGGACTACCTGAGGCCAGGGTTTTGAGACCAGCCTGGTCGATTCATATACTCACTGTCAATTCAATGCAAAAAACATGTACTAGATACTTACTGTGCATGAATCATAGTCCTAGGGACTCTGAAGGATATGGAAAAAAAGATGAGCTGATTCTTACCTCCACAGAGCTGACACTTTAATCAGGAAGATAAACTATACAAAATAACTATAGTACAAGTAGATGTGATAGGTAATATAAGTATTAACAAAATAGGCATGGGAGCTCAGGGAATATAGACTACTTCTTTTGGCGAAAAACAGAAGGACAATGTAGCAGCAAAGACAAAAGTGGTGGAAATGGTCAGGCTAGTGGTGTGTGTCTGTCGTCCAAACTACTTAAGAGGCTGAGGAGGATTCCTTGAGCTTCACAGTTTGAAGCTGCAATGAGCTATGATCATGCCATTGCACTCTAGCCTGGGCAAAGGGTCAGACTCTGTCTCTCTCACATTTTTTTTTTTAAAGGTGGGCGCAGTGGTTGGCACCCGTAATCTCAACACTTTGGGAGGCTGAGGAGGGTGGACTGCTTGAGGCCGGGAGTTTGAGACCAGTATGGGGAACATGGTGAAACCCTGTCTCTAATAAAAGTACAAAAATTAGCCAGGTGTGGTGGTGGGCACCTGTAATCCCAGCTACTTGGGAGACTGAGGCAGGACAATCACCTGAACCCGGGAGTCAGAGGTTGCAGTGAGCTGAGCAGAGATGGCACCATTGCACTCCAGCCTAGGTGACAGAGCGAGACTCTGCATCCAAAAAAAAAAGCCAGGTGCAGTGGCTCACTCCTGTAATCCCAGCACTCTGGGAGGCTGAGGCAGGCAGATTACCTGAGGTCAGGAGTGAGACCAGCCTGACCAACCTGGAGAAATCCCATCTCTACTGAAATAAAAAAATTAGCCGGGTGTGGTGGTGCATGCCTGTAATCCCAGCTACTTGGGAGGCTGAGGCAGGAGAATTACTTGAACCTGGAAGAGGAGGTTGCAGTGAGGTGAGATCACATCATTGCACTCCAGCCTAGGCAACAAGAGTGAAACTCTGTCTCAAAAAAATAAATTTTTTAAAAAAGGAAAAAAAACAATATAATCATAATCTTTACTGACCAGAAACTAAGAACATAAAATATCTAAAAGTAAAGACACATGTCTATATATTTGGCATCTCAAACCACATATTCTAGGTTTGTATTTTTGTGTTCATAGAAGCCTTGTTCAACAAGGCTGACTTGATGTCTGAACCCAAGATCTCACAAGGCAAAAGTAAAGATCCTGTCAGCATTTGTTCATTAACAAAAACTGATGCCCAAAAAGTGACAACAGAAAGACTTTAGGGACCCCTACTAATCAATATCACAATCTTTTTTTTTTTATCCCTCTGGTATTTTTAGTAGAGACGGGGGTTTCATCATCTTGGCTAGGCTGGTCTTGAACTCCTGACCTTGTGATCCAGCCGCCTCGGCCTTCCAAAGTACTAGGATTACAGACATGAGCCACCACACGCAGCCATCAATATCACAATCGTTTAACAAAAGTACTATGTTAGGAACTCAGAACTCTTATTTTCAATTAACCAACCACTTCAACAAATACTCATTTATTTCAGTAATCCAATAAATTTCTCTAATGATAATAGTAATCAATATTTAAAAATACAATTATATAAATAAATATTTGCTTTATATTATACAAAACTTCAAGGGCAAAGGTAGTAAAACTGTATAACTATATAAATACTGAAGGAATAAGTTCTTAAAACAAAATGTAACCATGGGGAATTATGGATATTAAAGAACTACATGACGCTACAAAAATAAATCAGCCAGGCACAGTGGCTCACACCTGTAATCACAGCACTTTGGGAGGCTGAGACAGGTGAATCGCCTGAGCTCGGGAGTTCAAGACTAGCCCAGCATGATGGCATGTGCCTGTAGTCCCAGGTACTTGGGAGGCTGAGGTGAAAGGATCTCTTGAGCTTGGGAGGCGAAGGCTGCAGTGAGCTGAGATGGCACCACTGCACTCCAACCGGGATGACAGAGCGAGAACATGTCTCCACAACAAAAAAAGAAACAGAGGTAACAGTCACCCCTGTAAGATAACAGAAGAATGAGAGATGGAAGGAAGAAGTCGTTCACTACATTCCCTTTTATATTATTCCCACTAATACCTCCCTAGGTCAAATGAGCAATACTTACCAGAATTTTATCAGCTTTGGCTTCACTAATTCCCTTAATATTTATTAGCTCCTTCTTTGGTGCATAGGCAACAGCCTCCACAGTATGGAATCCAGCTTCTTCCAATTTTTTCACATCATTGGCATTTATGCCACACTGCTGCAAAATGAAGAAAACCATAAATAAATTTAAGCTTTAGTTCTCTAATCTAACACAGATGATATGTGTCCTACATACTTCACAGAGGTGCTTGAAGTCTTATAATACAACTGTCCCAAAATCCTGGGGTGGGGAGATGGGAAGTTGCTTCCAGAACCCCCAGCAAATAATAAAATCCAAGAATGCTCAAATACCTTATATAAAATGGCATATTATCTGCATATAACCTGTGGACATCCTCCTGGATGTTTTTTGATATGCAGTTGATTGAATTTTTGATATGTAGTTTGTTGAATTTCCTGATGCAGAATCCAGGAATATAGAGAGCCTACTGTATTATATGCAAAAGTTGAAAAATGAGCCCTATGTATGAGGTACTAAATAACAAAGTAACAACCTTTTCATCATCAAAATCAATAATTTTAAACTAGCACTATGGCATGTATATTAAAAAGAATTCTTGGCCAGGTGCAGTGGCTCACGCCTATAATCCCAGCACTTTGGGAGGCCGAGGTGGGTGGATCGTGAGGTCAAGAGTTTGAGACCACCCTGGCCAATACGGTGAAACCCCATCTCTACTAAAAATACAAAAATTAGCCAGGCGTGGTGGCACGTGCCTGTGGTCCCAGCTACTCGTGAGGCTGAGGCAGAAGAATCGCTTGAACCCAGGAGGCGGAGATTGCAGTGAGCAGGGATTGTACTACTGCACTCCAGCCTGGCAACAGAGCAAGACTCCATCTCAAAAAAAAAAAAAATTATTATTAGCAACTGGAATTTAAAAGTAACTCCCAACATTTTTTCTTCTTTTTTTGAGGCAGTCTCTCACTCCATCACCCAGGCTAAAGTGCAGTGGCATGATCTTGGCTCACCGTAACCTCTGCCTCCCGGGTTTGAGCAATTTTCCTGCCTCAGCTTCCCGAGTAGCTGGATTACAGGTGCAAAAAATGGGTAGGGTGAATAAGGAGCTCCCAGGGTACTGGGGGTAAAGCAAGCCTTTCTATCCCAGGTTGGCTTGTTGGGGACAATCACTGTTTGGGATGATCAGTGTGTCCATATTGGTCAGTGTGTCCAGCGATACGTCCAGAGTTGTTACCTTCTAGGTTACTACTGAATCTGAGTTGATTTTATGTCATGTTGTCTGGCATAAAATAAATGTTAATTAGCTGGGTATGACCACCGTATCCGGCTAATTTTTTAAAAAGATTTTTTGTAGGCCGGGCATGGTGGCTCATGCCTATAATCCCAGCACTTTGGGAGGCCAAGGCGGGTGGATCATGAGGTCAAGAGATCGAGACCATCCTGGTCGGTTGGTGAAACCCCGTCTCTACTAAAAATACAAAAATTAGCTGGGCATGGTGGTGCGCGCCTGTAGTCCCAGCTACTTGGGAGGCTGAGGCAGGAGAACTGCTTGAACCCAAAAGGCGGAGGTTGCAGTGAGCCGAGATCGTGCCATTGCACTCAAGTCTGGGTAACAACAGCAAAACTCCGTCTCAAAAAAATATATATATATATTTTTTTTTGGTAGAGATGGGGTTTCACCATGTTGGCCAAGGCTGGGATTACACACATGAGTCACCATGCCTGGTTACTCCCAACCATTTTTTGTGACCCTAAATGAACCCTGAGACCTTGGGCCCTAAAAGACCATTTTAAGACACTGTTGCCCAACACTTTCCACATCACACACACATAGAAAACGGTATTTTTACACTATGGTAAGGTAAACAGATAAGGCTAATCAGAACTGAAAGGAGCACTATCTTGGCCTATCAATAAATACCCTTTTTCTTGAACAATGACTGAAAGCTCTGCTCTAACAACTGACATTAAGAGTGAGGAAAATACTTTTTGTCAGAGACTTTTATACCACTTCTCAAAACAAACCACCCAAAGATACCTCTTTCTTCCTATATTCAAGTCAGCTTTGGTTTCATTAGTCACCAAAAGCATGACTTCTAAGAGAACATGAGTTAGTAGGGAAATGTGGATGTATTTGGGGTTTGGGAGAATTTACAAGAGGAAAGTTTGCCAACAGAAGCCATATCTGCTACAAATATTTAGGCAATAAGCAATATGCATGTGTTATATAAGTTCATGGCACCAGAAGTTATGACTCTGAACTTTCAAATGTTTATCACAAATCCATTTAAGGAACTTCTTGAATTTTTTTTTAAATAAGCCTTTTGCACTCCTAACTTCTAGAGTCTTGAAGATTAGTTGGCGATGGGAAATATGCATAAAGAGAAGAATCAAGTCTTTCTGTGCCTTCCCCGCTACTTATCTCAGCCCGAATCAGCTGCACTCACAGGGCACTCTCTATACAATGGGCAGAAACGGTGTAAGGCCTCAGCTCTGGTGCTTAATGTTCTTGTGCAGAATCCTGAATTGGAGCTTGTCTCTTATACTACAACAACCCCATACCCTTCTCCCTGCCAATGACAGCTCACAGCACAATCTAGATCAATGGAGAGAAGGTGCTCCCCTCTCTTCCATGCACAATTGGTCCAGGCCACTGTAATTCCCAGAACAGCACTTTTCTTTTCTTTTTTTTTTTTTTTAATACTGAACGTTTCATGAATTTGCATGTCATCCTTGCGCAGGGACCATGCTAATCTTCTCTGTATGGTTCCAATGTTAGTATATGTGCTGCCAAAGTGAGCACAGCACTTTCATACTTAGTACAAATAGCACAGGACACTTTGGCCAGGCATGATGGCTCATGCCTGTAATCCTAGCACTTTGGGAGGCTGAAGCAGGCAGACTGCTTGAGGCCAGGAGTTCAAGACCAACCTGGCCAACATAGTAAGACCCACTTCTTAAAAACAAACCAAAAAACAGCACAGAGATTCCACCATGGGATTCCAGGCCTTAGTTGCTGACAGTCCGGCTCTCAAAAATAAAAATGACAAAGCAGGAAGAGAATTGTTAACAAAGGAAGACGCCTTTTCCGACATATTTAGCAACAATCTTCAGCTTTTCCACAAGATTCTTGACAACATTTCTGAAAAGTCTAATCTGGGTCTTGATCTTGGTAGTCAACCTATGGTTTATGTAAAGATTGTAATACTTTCCTCTAGGTAGAAGAATCTAGTATATAATTCCAAAACTAGCAACTAAGCACATACCTCTAACCGTGAAACAGGTTGTGGGCCAAAGCTTTCTTCTTCCACTGAAGTATCTGCATTTGCTTCAAGCTGCATCTGCATTGCCATTACTGAAAAATACAAATGCTTACCAGTATAAACACTAGAGAAATAAGGTGCATCTATCTCTCCATCTTCTATCTAGCTAGTTGTATCAGAAACACTTCAGGAAGAACCAAGGCCATTCTCTTATTATGCCTCCCTGTTCTCCTGCTTTATAGTCCTCGAGAATGGAGGCCTTGCTTATGGCCATTACTGGAAATAGTGAAGAAAAAAAGAGAGTGGAGGCCAAGTCTTTTTTATTTTTGTATTCCCCATTATACATTATAAATTTGTTTGCAGACAAATACTGCATAATCTCACTCATATGCACAATCTAAAAAAGTTGATCTTGGCAGGGCACGGTGGCTCATGCCTGTAATCCCAGCACTTTGGGAGGCCGAGGCGGGCAGATCACAAGGTCAGGAAATCGAGACCATCCTAGTCAACATGGTGAAACCCTGTCTCTACTAAAAATACAAAAATTAGCTGGGTGTGGTGGTGTGAGCCTGTAATCCCAGCTACTCAGGAGGCTGAGGCAGGAGAATGAACCTGGGAGGCGGAGATTGCAGTGAGCTGAGATCGTGCCACTGCACTCCAGCCTGGCAACAGAGCAAGACTGTGTCAAAAAAAAAAAAAAAAAAGTTGGTCACATACAAGGAGCAAATAGAAGACTGGTAACCAGAGACTAAGGCGAACACAGCTGTTAGAGGGGCAGTGGGAAGGAGAGAGGTTGGTCAACATGCACAAAGTTTCAGTTAGACAAGAGGAATAATTTCTAGTGTTCTATTTCACAGTTGGGTGACTACAATGCACACTAATGTAATGTATACTTCAAAATAGCCAGAAAGAGTATTTTGAATGTTCTCACCACAAAGAGAAATGACAAATGTTTGAACTGAATTGATTTGATCATTCATTATACAATGTACGTATGTACTGAAATATCACCTTGGCTGGTGCTGTGGCTCACACCTATAATCCCAGCATTTTGGGAGGCTGAGGTAGGCGGATTTCCACTAAAAATTTAAAAAATTAGCCGAGCTTGGTGGCACACACCTGTAGTCCCAGCTACTTGGGAGGCTGAGGCAGGAGAATTGCTTGAGCACAAGAGGTGGAGGCTGCAGTAAGCTGAGATCATGCCGCTGCACTCCAACCTGGGCAACAGAGCAAGACTTTGACTCAAAAAAAAAAAAAAAAGAAAGAAAGAAAAGAAAAAGAAAGAATCACTTCAATGCTACTTACTCATTTATTTATTTAGAGATTGAATTTCCCACTTATTACCCAGGCTGGAGTACAATGGCGCTATCTTGGCTCACTGCAACCTCCACCTCCTGGGTTCAAGCTATTCTCCTGCTTCAGCCTCCCAAGTAGCTAGGATTACAGGCGCATGCCACCACACCTGGCTAATTTTTGTACTTTTAATACAGATGGGGTTTCACTATGTTGGCTAGGCTGGTCTCGAACTCCTGACCTCAGATGACCCACTCACCTCGGCCTCCCAAAGTGCTGGTATTGCAGGCATGAGCCACTACTACACCCAGCCAAGAATCACGTCAGTGCAACTTAAATATTTCCCTTCATAATTTATGAATACAGTACTGCAGAATAATGGGGAAAGGATGGTTTTGTTCAATAAGCAGTGCTGGGTTGATTGAATAGCCTTAGAGAGAAAAATGAACTTTGTCCCTCTCTCATACCACAAACAAAAATCAATTTCCAATTTATTAATAGATTCCACCCAATCTAAATGTAAGAGATAAATTAAACTTTTCAGAATATAAGATAATATTTTCACAACCTTGGGACAGAAAAAGAGTTCATGAAGTTGGATATATAATTCACTAGCCAAAGAGGAAAGGTTGAAAACTGAACATTTATTTTTTATTTATTTATTTATTTGAGACAGAGTCTGGCTCTATTGCCCACGCTGGAGTGCAGTGGCTCCATCTCGGCTCACTGCAACCTCCACCTCTGAGGTTCTTGGTCTTGAATTCCTGACCTGATCATCTATCACCCTCAGCCTCCAAAAGTGCTGGGATTACAGGCATGAGCCATGGCGCCTGGCCTGAACTACATTCAGCACTTCTATTCATCAAAGGACACTACTAAGAGAATAAGTCAAACTACAGCAGAGAAAACACTTAGCACTAACATAACTGAGGCCTGATAATCAGAATATAAAGAACTTCAAATCAGTAAAAGACAGTTCAACAGAAAATGAGGCAAGAGATTTTAACAAGCACATCACAGAAGATATCCAAATGGCCAAAAACACATGAAGAAATGCCCAACCTAATCAGTAATCAGGAAAATCAAAATCATGAGACATTACTGTGTACCCAGCAAAAGAGTTAAAATTTAATAAGACTGAAAAATATCGTATTGGCAACCATGTGAAGTAACACTCCTGATATATTTGTATATAAAATTCAAAAACAAGCGACATAATCGCATTAGAAACCCGTATGCAGTGCCTCACAGTGTAATCCCAGCACTTTGGGAGGCTGAGGCGGAAGGGTAAGTTGAGGTCAGCAGTTCGAGACCAACTTGACCAACATGGTCAACAGAACCCCCGTCTCTACAAAAAATTAGCCGGGCGTGGTGGCGCACGCCTGCAATCCCAGCTCCTCGGGAGGCTGAGGCAGAAGAAGCGCTTGAACCGTGGAGGCGGAGGTTGCAGTGAGCCGTGATCGGGCCACTGCACTCCCAGCCTGGACGACAGAGGGAGACACCATCTCAAAAAAAACAAAAAACACAAACAAAAACAAAACAAAAACCCAAACCTCACTTCAGAACATTCTCTAGACGTCACGTAAATGGTTTTCTGCATCAAATGACGACATTTTTTCTTTCTTTTTTTTTTTGGCAATTGGAGTTTGGGTACTTTCTAAGGCAACCTCCAACTTTCCATTACACCTTGCTGTAATGGAAAGACCAGGAATCCGGAAGCCCTGGCGGTGATATTAAACAGTCCTCTCGGACTCCTCGATCAAGCCCATAAAATGGGTGTTGGCAATGACGGTTCTACTGTTTCTCCCCTAGCTCTAAAGCCTGGGGTCCACTGTGTTTTCGCCCCAGCAGCTGAGGGTCGGTCGGGCGCCAACCCGCCCTGCCACGTCCAGGTTTCACACTGCGCGCGAAGGCCCCACCAGCCGCCGCTGGGCAACGAGCCGGCTCGCACCCAGGTAGGCGAGCACGAGCCGCGGCTGTGGACGGCCTGCGCCTCACGCACTCACCTCGTCCCGCAGCGCTGCTCGCTCCAGCGGGCCGCGCGCTCCAACTTCAGCCCGTGGGCCTAGCACGCGCGCGACCTGAGCGGACCCCAACGCCCCTGGGTTGCGCTCCACTTCTCTGTTCGCTTGCCCCAGCCTTGTGCGCACAATCCAGGCGAGTTTCAGCTCCCAGCTTCGCGCCTCTACAAGCGCTGCGCTCTCATTAGGGATCGGTCTCTGGCCGCTGTCTGCCCTCCGCCGGCAGCTTTCAGAATTCCCGCCAAAGCTTCTAGGCCTGGGGTCACGCCCGCGTCGGCGTAACGTCTTCCAGCCTCCTGGATCCGCCTTCTCACCGCTTCCGCCCTGCGCCCCAGGGCAAGGTGGGAGCGCGAGAACATGAGCCTGCGAGGTTACGGACCGACCTCGTCCCTTTTTGCACGAGTACTAATTCAAAGTTTATGCCGGGCGCTGTGGCTCACTCCTGTAGTCCCAGCTGCTCGGGACGTGGGGGCGAGAGAACCACAGTGAGCCTAGGAGTTCGAGGCCAGCCACAGCAACGCCCCTACTCCCACCCCAGTCCCTCACGGGTGGGGCGGGGGTTGGGGGAGTGGGGGAGGAAGACTTATCCGAGTTGCCGTTTTATCTTTTCACTTTTTTTTTCCTCTCTCAGGTGTCTACAGAAACCGTTTTATGTTTACCAGATCAAAGACTACAACTCCCAAGAGGTAATGCGTCGGCTCGGGACTGCATCTCCCGGCATGCACCTCCGGCGGGCCCGCGGCTACCTACCTTCGTCCCGGAGCCTTACCTCTTTTGTGGTTGGTTTTCGGCAGTGTCTGAACGTCGGCTTTTGGCACTTAGGGTCGCTCTGAGCCTCCGACTCACATTCTGGAGCCGGGTGCTTTCCAGGCCTCATGAAGGTGAAGGAGCTGAGAAGCTCGAGAAGATGGATATAATTGGGAAATGGAGCTAACGGACGGGAGAGAGAAATGGCTGGAATATTCGTCAATTTGTGGTACTTTACTGGAGATTTGCAGGACTTCAGAGGAAGAAGACATGAATTTGATAACCTACACAGTATCGTGGTTTACCAAAAAGTTTTGACTCTTGATTCCGGTTTTAAAAGCTGAAGTAGGGCCGGGCGCGGAGGCTCATGCCAGTAATCCCAGTACTTTAGGAGCCACCTCACCTGGTCTTATTTATTGTTTTTTTTTTTTTTTTTTTTTTTTTAATGAGGCAGCATCTCTCCCTGTTGTCCAAATTGACCTTGAACTCCTGGCCTCAAGTGATCCTCCCACCTGAGCCTCCCAAAGTGTTGCGATTACAGGTGTGAGCCATTGCAACGGCCTTATTACTACTTCCTATTTGTGGAGTGCTTTTGTTGTACTGGCCTGAGCATAGAAAGTCAACACTAAGACAAAAGTATGCTAAATTGCAGGGTCTTTATTGCCTGCGGCCACCGAGGACTCACTCTCCAACCCGTGGCCCCGAAAGGAGGGTGCCAAGACCTTTTATACCCGTAAAACCACCTCGGGAGTGAGGGTGAGGGGCAGGGGTGGGGGTGAGGGGCTTCAGACGTTCTGAGGGCCAGTGGATTCTGTAAATCACCTCCTGGGCGGAGATGTGGGTGAGGGGCTCCAGACATTCCAGTGGATTCCTGGGCGAAGATGAGGGTGAGGGGCTCTGGACTGCCGAGCGCCAGGGGACTTTTTTGACATTCTGATTGTTACATAAGTGGTTCACAAAAGTCAAGATTAGCATTTGTTTACACATTATTTGGGTAGGGTGGAAATTACAGTCCTTAATTGCTTATTCACATTTGGGTTATAGAGAGCAGTTTCAACAGAAAGCCGAGGTATGGTTGAGGTATGCAGTTTTATGGGGCTTTTACCATGTCACACTTTAAAGTTGACAAAGTTTTTAGTTAATCCTCACACTATTACCTTGTGGCATCGAAGGATAGATTTCAGAAGAGTGAAAGTGAAGACAGCGAAAAGGAAGCTCTTGCAATATTTCAGGCAAGAGATTTGAATTAGATTCCAATTCTACCTTTTGGCACCAGGGACTGGTTTTGTGAAGGAAAATTTTCCACAGGGTTCGGGGGATGGCTGTGGGGCAGAGGATGGTAACGGGATGAAACTGCTGCACTGCAAAATCATCAGTTAGATTCCATAAGGAGCATGCAATCTAGATTCCTCACAGGTGCAGTTCAAAATAGGGTTTGAGCTCCTGTGAGAATTTAATGCCATCCTGATCTAACAGGAGGCAGAGCTCAGGTAGTAATGTTTGCTTGCCCGCGGCTCACCTCCTGCTATGCAGCCCAGTTCCTAACAGGCCAGAGGCGTGTGGCCTGGGCGTTGGGGTCCCCTGAATTAGAGGAATGACAGAACAGACTCAGGCAGCTTTCTGGATGTAGAAACAACCTAACTTAGTGATTATAGATAGTACCTGGGATAATAGTGAACTTTCTTCCATATCGAAGTTACCCACCTTTGCCTCCAGTTCTTCACATACCCTTAGAGCATCTGCAGACCTACAACCCTCCTCCTGACTGTAGTCATGTGACTTTTACCTTTCTGGCCACCAGTTGTACCAGCAGTGTTCACCTGGCCCAAAATCAGCCAATCATACTCCTACTCCTGGAAAATTGAACTTGGGTTTTATATTGAAGTCTGACCTCAGGAATTTATGGGGCTAAGTACACAGATAGGTGTGTGTGAATGTCAAATCAGAGAAAACACATCTGCTGAAAGATTAAGAAATTGAGAAACTGGCTGGGCACAGTGGCTCACGCCTGTAATCCAAGCACTTTGGGAGGCTGAGGCAGGGGGATCATCCTGGCCAACATGGTGAAACCCCATCTCTACTAAAAATACAAAAATTAGCTGGGCGTGGTGGCACAACGCCTGTAGTCTCAGCTACTGGGGAGGCTCAGACAAGAATTGCTTGAACCTGGGTGGTGGAGGTTGCAGCGAGCCAAGATTGTGCCACGACACTCTAGCCTGGCGACAGAGTGAGACTCTTTCTCAAAAAAAAAAAAAAATTGAATGGGCCGGGCGCGGTGGCTCACGCCTATAATCCCAGCACTTTGGGAGGCCGAGGCGGGTGGATCACGAGGTCAAGAGATCGAGAACCTCCTGGTCAACAACGTGAAACCCCATCTCTACTAAAAATACAAAAAATTAGCTGGGCATGGTGGCGCGCGCCTGTAGTCCCAGCTACTCGGGAGGCTGAGGCAGGAGAATAGCTTGAACCCAGGAGGTGGAGGTTGTGGTGAGCCGAGATCGTGCCATTGCACTCCAGTCTGGGTAACAACAGCAAAACTCCATCTCAAAAAAAAAAAGAGTATTATGTAGGTGATGTGTATCAAGTGATCTAATCTGCTCCTTACTAATTCAACTCCACTAGTATGCTTATAAAATGAGAGTCCTTGAGTAGCAGACACGCATTGTAAATAAATGATTTTTTTTTTTTTTTTTTTTTAAAAGATGGGGTTTCACCATGTTGGTCAGGCTGGTCTTGAACTCCTGACCTCAGGTGATCCACCCGCCTTGGCCTCCAAAGTGCTTGGATTACAGGCGTGAGCCATCACGTCTGGCCTAAATTAATATCTTTCTGCAAGTATATTTCCCCAAGATTCAACTGAATATAGTTTGCTATGATTCCTTAAAATTCAATTTCACATCCATTAAACTTTTAAGTACTGGGCTGGGTGTGGTGGCTCACGCCTGTAATCCCAGCACTTTGGGAGGCCAAGGTGGGTGAATCACAGGTCAGGAGATGGAGACCATCCTGGCCAACATAGTGAAACCCTGTTTCTACTAAAAATACAAAAATTAGCTGGGCATGGTGGCATGTACCTGTAATCCCAGCTGCTCAGGAGGCTTAAGCAGGAGAATTGCTTGAACCAGGGAGTTGGAGGTTGCAGTGAGCCAAGATCACTCCACTGTACTCCAGCCGGATGACAGAGCAAGACTGTCTCCAAAGAAAAAAAAACAAAAACAAACTAGGCCAGGCGGTGGCTCACACCCATAATCCCAGCACTTTGGGAGGCCCAGGCGAGCAGATCACAAGGTCAAGAGATCGAGACCATCCTGGTCAACATGGTGAAACCCTGTCTCTACTAAAAATACAAAAATTAGCTGGGCATGGTGGTACACGCCTGTAGTCCCAGCTACTCAGGAGGCTGAGGCAGGAGAATTGCTTGAACCCAGAAGGCAGAGGTTGCGGTGAGCCGAGATCGTGCCATTGCACTCCAGTCTGGGTAACAACAGTGAAACTCCGTCTCAAAAAAAAAAAAAAAATCAGGTGAGTGATCACAGTACCTGGTTTTATTATATTAAGGAAACAGGAACTGAAGAGGGTAAGAAATACAGTCTTGAATTGTCAGCATCATCCCTCCTTATCCCCTGGTAGTGGGCATTTGGCATGAAGAGAGAATCTGTGCTCCTGAGGGAGGAAGAATACAAGGATTATGAGACTCTGCATCTGAACTCAGTGCTCCCCTGGCACAGCAGAAAACAACACAGGGAAGAACTCAGCCAGTAACCCAGAGGGAGCATTGAGACCAGCCATAGCCAGAGGGGAATTGTCCATTCCAGCAGTTGGAAGCTGAGTTCTGGCAGGCCCCACAGGCTAAAGTGCTTTGGAGGCCTAGGTAAACTTGAAAGGCAGTGTAGGCCATGGGGACTGCAATTCCTGGGCAAGTCCTGCTGCTGTGCCAGGCTCAGAGCCAGTAGACTTGGGGTGCACACAACTTAGTGAGATACCAGCTGGGTGGCCAAAGGAGTACTTGCATCACCCATCCCAGAACCCCAGGCAATGCAGCTCACAGCTCTGGGAGAGACTCCTTCTTCTTGACTGAGGAGAGGAAAGGGAAGAGTAAAGAAAGGACTTTGTCTTTCATCTCGGATACCAGCTCAACTACCATAGAATCAGGCACCAGGCAAAGTCCTCAGGCTTCATTCCAGGCCCTTGCTGCTGGATGACATTTCTAGACACATCCTGGGCTAGAAGG